TTTCTCAGTTGATATATTTATGTTTAATGTAGTTATATGTTGTAAGTTAAAAAAAAATTATTATAATATAACACAATTAAATTACACAAATAAAAAATGTCAAACGAAATAAATAATAATAATATATATATATATATATTTAAATAATAAATATTTAAATTTTCAACTACATTTTTCATTAATTTTAGATTTTAAGGAAAAAATTTAGCAAGCATCCATGTAATACACGGACATTGTACTAGTACAAATATAATACCCAATAACAGCTTTTGTGTTCTTAAGTATTATGAATTGAGATCAATAAAGAAAAAGGGTTGCACGTGAACGATCAACGCTTAGTTTTAGTTAGTTTTTAGTTTAATTCTACATTAATTTTTTACTTTTTAGGTTTTAGGTTCAATAATTATTAGGTCAATAAGATGAATAAGGGCCTACTATCTACTAATTAAATAATGGGCTCATGGCCCAAAAGAGTATTCATGCACGGCCGCCGGGACGAAGCCCATTATTTCACTTCACATACACACAGAGAAGGAAAAAATAATAAAACGAAAAAAAAAACAGCGAAAAAACCAAAAACTATTATTTTTATTGACGATAATAATCACTCATCAATACGATACGACATTCTTTTTCTTTCTTTTCTTTTTCATTTTCCATAATACATAATTTATATATGTGAAAATTTAACATGTAATTCGCAAGCATGAAAATTAAGTAAGTTGGTACATAGAGTAGTTAAATATATATAGTTACTAAATCATGTTGGACATGATGAGCATGATACTGATGAGCTCCCATGCTGGGGTAAGTTGGGCCTCTAAAACATCCGGCATGTCCAACCCATAACCGTCCCTGCACGTGTCAATATTCGTCTGGGCAGCCGAGGCTAATAGGTTGAGAGTTTGTAGATCGAACTTTGTGGTTTTGTTCCAGAGTTCCGCGGTATCTATGAGTTGTCCCACCGCGGATTTGCACTGGCCCTTGCACGATTTGGCCGGGTTTCGATGGGTCTTCACATGATTTGGGCCGCCCGATGGTGAGGGAGCCTCGCCGGCCTGGGTGAGCGATATGGATACTTTCCAGGCGACCATGGTGGCCTTTATTGCAAACATGTTAACGAAATGGCCCACACACCTTTTGGTTTCAGGGGTTGTCGGTTAGATTGGTTCCGCACGCCTCGATACAGGCAAGCGAAGCCAAGGTCTCGTTGCAATTCGGGGAATAATTTGGTTCATGGCAAACGACAGATATCAAATCGTGGGCACTTAAGAAAGAAAGGGAACAAAGGGCAGAAAAGAGTATAATAAGAAAATTAGTTGCCCTCATTTTTTGTGTAGTATATAACCTTCACTAAGATTTTTTAAATTAGGGTTTGGGATGGGAAGCATAGCTTCATGAACTTCTCTATTTATAGGGCAGCCCAAATAAAATTGATGTACATGTTTACAATTTTTTATTTTTTTTTTATGTTTTAATTTTATCGAGCACCAAATGTTGCTGGTAAGTTAATTAGAGGATGCTTGGACATAATTTTTTTTGGTTTTGTTTAGATTTTTTGGCTTGGTATGGTTAATGTTGGTATGACTCATATATTGACAAAGGAAGGGGGCAGGCTGATGCCTGCGAGCGTAACGGAGCGAACATAGCGAGGGAAGCGGAGCGACCGGGCGAAGTGAGCGGAGTGGATAGTATAAATAAATGGTGTATTGATGTATTTGAGACTATTGAGAATAATAAAGATCCCTCAGCCGCCGTGGAAGTAGGCATATTGCCGAACCACGTAAATCTTGTGTTGTTTACTTTTCTCGTTTTTTAATTCGTATGTCATATTGTCATCTTTACTCAACAATTAAGTTAAAAAAAATGTGATATTGTTAGTTATTAGTGGAGTTTCAAATTTACATTAAAACAATATTTAATATAAAATAATTAAAATTGATTTGATAAAATTATGAGAAAGATGATGTGAAGTGATGTTTAGTTAAAATTATGTGAGTAGATGAATAGTGAATTAAAATTGATGTAATATATATATATTTGTTGACAAATTTCAATAAATTTTTATTCAACAAGCAACTAATAATAATAGTAGTTCATTTAATAAAAATATGTGTTCATTTAATAAAAATATGTAACTTTCAGTTACACGTTCTTTTTTTTTTTTGACATCTCTCATTTTAGATGATTCGCATTTCTGTAACGCTTTTTTATGTCCTGAAATACAAAATATTTTTGTTTTTATTTTGATACTATATATATATATATTTTGGTATTATATAAATATATATTTCACAAATATTAAGTATGACTACAAATATCTCTATTTTATATTGAAATCGTACAATAAAAAAATATATTTTCGGATATTACACAGATTCAAATAATTTGAAAAATCAAATTCCATGGAATAAAACTCTCTTCCGTAATGGTCTTGCAATATATTTAAAACTTTTAATATTATATGCATAAATATAATTTA